GCGTCCTACTGCTAGGGCGTCCTTTATGGTTCCCCCGTCTGCAGAGTATGTGAAGGAGCTCCATGCCTGTTGGACAGACACTAAGGCCTTCTCGAGGCTGACCTCTGACGGCAGGGCACTGGCGGCCATGCATGATGCGCCCAGTCTTGGCTTGGGCCATATGCCTTCGGTTGAGCCAGCCATAGCTTCCCTCATTGTGGCGCCGGATGAGGCTTTGAGGGCCAATGCCAGGTGTCCTCGTCCTCAGTGCCGTGTCACTGACGATCTGCTCTGTAGAGCCTATGACTCTGGGGCTCGTTTGGGGCGACTTGGGAATTCCCTGTCGCATTTATTACTCGGTCTCTCGGCTTCCTTGGAGGGCGTCGCGATCGACGCACCTACCCAAGGACTGATGGATGCGTCCCTCCATGCATTTGCTCTTCTGTCGAGGGAGGTTGGACGTGTCCTGTCTACCCTTGTTCAGGCACGTCGCCAGGTCTGGCTGGCTCAGTCTCCTCTGACGGAGGCATGTAGAAGGACCCTGATGGGCCTTCCAGTTGTTCCTGGGGAGTTGTTTGGCTCCGCTGCACTTGCAGCCCTGGAACGATCGGCCGAGGCCTCGCGTACCAGGCAACAGTTGGCCGGTCTGCATCGCAGACGAGCGCAGCGTCCTACTAGGAGTGCCTCTGTGTCCCTGTCAAATGCTTTTCCTCCCCGGACTACACCTTGCTTGGGGCAGCCACGGTTTGCTGCAGGGCCTGCTGCCAGGCCTGCCCATGGCCACTACGATCCACCGAGGGGTCGAGCTAATGTCGCTCCTCAACCTGGGCGGGCAACTCAGCAACCCTCCCGCCCCCCGAAGGGCAGGGGGGCTCGGAGATGACGTCACTGGACCGGCGGTGGGACACTTTACCCCGGAGCAGCTCGGTTGCTGGGCCGCTCTTGTGTCCGATCCATGGGTGGTGTGTACACTTACCCGGGGTTACACGCTACAGTTCCGCCGCCGCCCTCCTGTCCCTGGTCGAGTCAGGATGACGGTGATTCGCGACCAGGTAAAAGCTCAGGCTCTGAGCCAAGAAATAGACACCTTGCTGGCCAAGGGTGCTATTTTGCCCGTCAACCCCCTGCGGGACCCAGGGGGCTTTTACTCGAAGTATTTTTTAATTCCCAAAAAGACTGGGGGACCCCGCCCAATTTTGGACCTGAGGGGTTTGAATCTTTACATGAAGTCCATCCCCTTCCACATGTTGAGCATCAGGGACGTGCTTCAGGCAATTTCCCCAGGCGACTGGTTCACCTTGGTCGATTTGAAGGACGCATATTTTCATGTTCCGATTGCACCACAGAATTTGCGTTTTCTCCGCTTTGCATTTCAGGGCAGGCATTTTCAGTTCAGGGTTCTCCCGTTCGGCCTCTCTCTGTCCCCGCGTGTGTTCACTCGGTGCATGGCCGCGGCCTTGTGTCCTCTGCAGGCCAGAGGGTTGAAGATCCTGCCTTATTTGGACGACTGGCTCGTCTGTGCGCCCACAGAAGCTCAAGCTGCTGCAGACACGCGCACCTTGCTCGATCACATGGACCTATTGGGTCTTTGTGTGAACTGGCAGAAGAGCAACCTGATTCCGTCTCAGCAGGTAACGTTTCTCGGTATCACGATGGACTCTCTCTCCATGACTGCTCGCCCATCGCCTCAGCGTGTCGAGAGCATTCTGCAGATGCTGCCTGCCTTTCTTCCCGGTTGGGCGCCCCCCTTTGTTCTCTATCTCCGTCTGCTGGGGAAGCTGACAGCTGCCGCTACTGTAGTGCCCCTAGGGCTGCTGTCTCTGCGACCACTGCAGATGTGGCTCAACAGCCTGAGGCTGGATCCTTCTCGTGCGTCACACCGTCACAGGAAATTGCAGGTGTCCCCTCAATGCCTCGTATCGCTGGCTCAGTGGCGAGAGGCAGGATTCATGATAAGGGGAGTTCCGCTGGGTTTGCTGCCATCCCGTTGGGAAGTTGTCTCTACCGACGCGTCCACCACAGGATGGGGGGCCTTGTGGCAGCGACAGATCGCTCGGGGGACATGGTCTCCACAAGAGAGGCGACACCACATCAACGCTCTGGAGTTGGAGGCTGTGCACCGCGCGCTGCGGCACTTCCTCCCGGTCCTGCGGGGAAGGCATGTCCTGGTGCGGTCGGACAACACGTCGGTTGTTTTTCACATCAACCATCAAGGGGGAACACGGTCTTTGATGCTACTGAGGCTGACCCGGGAGCTTCTGACCTGGGCAGCCCCTCTTTTTGCCAGCCTGAGGGCGACCCACATCCCGGGGGTGCAGAATGTTCCTGCCGTCATCCTATCCCGGGGGCGTCCACCACCCGGGGAGAGGAGGCTCCACCCGGATGTAGTGGAAACTATTTGGGAGAGGTTCGGGAGAGCAGCCGTAGATTTGTTCGCTTCCCGAGAGACGACACATTGCCCGCTGTGGTTCTCCCTGTCGGACAGTGCCAGTCCCCTAGGTCAGGACGCGCTGTCGCACGACTGGCCGAGGGCACTCCTCTACGCCTTCCCGCCACTTCCCCTGATAGGCCCAACACTCCTGAGGGTCCTTCAGGAGGGACATCAGCTCCTTCTGGTGGCCCCCCGGTGGCCAGGGAGGACTTGGTTTCCGATGCTGCACAGGCTCTGTTGCAGCTCTCCGATGCCTCTTCCCTGCAGGAAGGACCTGCTGTCACAGCTGGACGGTCGGATCCTGCATCCCAATCCCAGTCGCCTCCGACTCTGGGTCTGGCCACTGCAGGGCCCGGCGTTTCCTTCTCGGAGTATGGCGGGGACATCGGACACACGATGACTAACGCCAGGGCCCCTTCCACGCGTCTGGTGTACGCCCATAAGTGGAAGGCTTTTAGCCGCTGGTGTCAGGAAAGAAGTGAGGACCCTGTACACTGTCCTGTTTCTGTTATTTTAACCTTCCTTCAAGCAATGCTTTCTCAAGGTCGCTCTCCATCCACTCTAAAAGTCTATGTGGCTGCCATCTCTTGCTGGCATTCGGTGGTGAGTGGGGAGACGGTGGGTCGTAACAAGGACGTTTCCTTGTTTTTGAGGGGTGCCCGGCGTTTGCACCCTCCCACACGCCCTGTTGTGCCGGTGTGGGACCTTTCTATTGTCCTCGCTGCCCTGCGCTCTCCTCCCTATGAACCATTGGCGGGGGCAAGCCTTGAGTGTGTGTCGAAGAAGACAGCTTTTCTCCTCGCCATGGCCTCGGCGAAACGGGTGAGTGAACTACATGCACTGTCTGTTCACGAGTCCTGCTGCCGTTGGAACCCGGCTGGTTCGGGTGTTACTCTTTGGCCTAATGCGGCGTTTCTTCCTAAAGTGGCTTCACCCGCGAGCCACACTGTGCCCCTCCAGCTTGCTCGCCTTGATACAGATGGGCCTGATGAGCTTCTCTGCCCTGTTCGGGCACTGAGGACATATGTCAGTCTCACAGCTTCTCTCCGACAGGCAGATAATCTGTTTGTCTGCTACGCGGGGCCCCGCAAGGAGCAGGCCCTTTCTAAACAGCGCCTTGCGCGTTGGATTGTGGATGTAGTGGAACAGGCGTACATTCAGCGGGGCCTCCAACCCCCCGCTGGTGTACGGTGCCATTCCACCAGGGGTGTCAGTGTGTCATGGGCCGCTATGACTGGTCTCACTCTGGAGGCTATTTGCTCAGCAGCCTCTTGGTCATCCCCGAATACCTTTGCTAGGTTTTACAGGGTCAACTTGGCCACCCCTCACCCAATGCAGGGGATCCTGTCCCAGCGCACGCCATCTTCCCAGTGAGGTGGGCATGTTTGGGTTGTTGTTTCTGTGTGTGATTCCTCAGGACTCTGTTGGTAATCGTCATCCGTGCTTTAAGCACCGCCTCTGGCAGTCAGTAGGGATGAAATAGAACGAAAGTTACGACTGTAACTACGGCTCTATGAATCCCGGATGACCGCCAGAGCGCTCGGTCCCTCGGAATCATTGTGTGTTCGCGAGAAGATTAAGGGACTGAGCTGTCGCTGTCACGTGACTATATAGGCACACCGGTGTCACCGGGGGTCACACGTGACTATGTTGGTATAAGATTCTCGACCTGTGCATGCGCAAGAGTGATCATTCGTGCTTTAAGCACCGCCTCTGGCGGTCATCCGGGATTCATAGAACCGTAGTTACAGTCGTAACTTTCGTTCTCTTCCATATGGAGAAACCAACAGAGCTCCAACTGCAGCTAGCTTTTAGCTTTTCTCTCAGGTGAAAAGTACTTCTATGTTCCTTTAATGTTTGGCAAAAAGGACAGAGCAGAATGGCTGCAAATGTATCACGATACCCTTTCAGATCAGTCATAAATACTGATTTAGGAGTTCTGGATATATCGTATTGACAGACGAAAACAATGTTTTTATTTTTATCTTAAATGCAAAATAATATATATATTTTTTACAATTTTTATATAATTACTGCTCTAAGCGGGTTGCTCTGAGCGCTAAAGGCATCTTTTATTGTCTCTATACTCCATTTAACAATTAATAGATTACTAAATTAGTTGATGACCATTTCAATAATCGATTAATCCTAATTGATCCTTTCCTCTGCCTACATCGACCAGAATACCATGTGGTTCTGGATCAGAGTTCCACAGAATTACTGAACATTTTATGAGATGTATTTTATATTAGTAGTGATCAGATTATCAGATTTATATCCCAGCCCTAGTGGCAGATGGCTGTTCACACAAACTGTTGCTATATCATTCTTAAAATGAAGGATTGATCCAATGTAATCAATGTACTGCTGCTGCTATGTGCTCATCCAGGGTGACGCCTTGGATGACGTGTCTTGTGAACAATATGAATTTTGATTTGATTTGGCCAAAGATAAGTATTTTGCACCAAGCTCTGCATTTAAGCTAAAAAGAGCCAAACGATCTCGATCCATGAGAAAATCTATGCAGCAGACAATGTCGCCTCATCATCATCTGATACATTTTTGAATGCTTCATATTTTAGCACTATACCTGAATCCTCCGGATGCTGACGCGGCTCTCGAACAGCTTTTCGATGGCACTGGGGAAGAAGAGCGTGACGGTGAGCCGCACCGCTGAGTACAGCGACACGGTCACAAAAACGCGGCTGGCAGAGATGGTGTTGCCCAGCAGCACGTAGAGGGTGAATGTGACGAAAACGATGATCTTGCTAGCACAGAAAAAAGAGGCCATGTTGAGACCTCGCAGGTAGGAGCTCTTCATGATCTTGGAGATCTCCTTCCTGGAACAACAAAGTTCAAATAATCAACAGCGGTCAGAAGTGACAGAAAGATCATAGAGCAATGCCGTGGATTATAAACTAAACAAATTTGCTTGTAGAAAATAGAATAATAAATAAAAAATATATACATTGAGTACTGGGTATTCAGAGTCGGGTATACCTGCAGGGGTTGACGTTACCACTTTGGGCAAGTGGTTTTCACATTTCATTTGCCCAGAAACAATTTTTACTTTGCTTTAAACTGTTGTGTGCTTGGAAAAATATAAATTGTAATGTTAAAAATCTAAAAAAAAACTACTACTACTCACTAATTTAACATGTTTAGCTCTATAACATTTAAATGCACCACTCCAATGTCTAAGAGAAAAAAATTTTATGAAAATTTTTTAATGTATGACCACTGTACAGAAGATTGCCATATGATGGAAATATTTACACTGTGCGCATACAATTATTATTTTTATCTTCCTAATCCCTGACTGATCATTTTTAATCTAGCGTGTATTATAGTATAGATTAAATTAATTATCCAGCTGCTGCTCTGCAGAATTCTCTCCCCAAAAGCTGAATCACGCCATCTAGCGGAAAATCACGCGGCTTTTTCAAATTACGCGAGAATGTGTACAAAACAACAAAGATGGTGCCGGCAATGCTTAATTTGCAAGAAAAAGTTGTCGTCCAATGCATATTAGCATTGCTTCAAGCAGCAGAAGCAGCCACTTTACATGCAAAGTCAATGGTTGACGCCCATCAACCAATAGGAGAAGCTGATCTGGGAGCCAGACACAGCACTGCTGATGCAGATCACTATGATCCCTCCTCTAATACAGTTTATTAACGCCTAAATGAACATAAAATAATGAAACCTGTCAGCAAAATATGTTCGCATTTATTATTCTGGTGCCTGCAGTTTGTACCACGTACATGAAAAACGCTAGCCTCGTGAGACCATCCTGATATCGCAAGCTTTCAAGGTTTCACTCGCAAATCAGTCTGGAGACTCTCCGTAAAAGAAAATTTGGAGCCGTTCACCAAACGAACGTCCAATCAGCGTTGGCTTTGAGGCGGGTTGAGGTGTGATGCAACAAGAAGCGCGACAGTTCAGTCTAAAGAACATGGCGCCTTCAGCCGATGAAACTAGCGTTAGCGTGGCTATCGAGCAACTTTTATCGGAATTACAGAGTATTTCTTCACTGAAAGGAGCAAAACACTGCTCTGGAGGCTTTTCTCAGAGGAAAAGACGTTTTTGCTCTTCTCCCGACTGGTTTTGGCAAGAGTTTGATCTATCACTTGGCTTGTGCCTGGCTTGTGGTTGTGTTTTTGTCGTCGCTCTGTTAGTACGTCATATGCTTCGTTGATTTGATTGGTTTATTTGGCCCGTCTATCACCAACATAGGCCAATCAGCTAACCAGTGTTTTCGCCCCTTCCCAAAATTACTTCAACGGAAGGTTTCCAGATGAATATGCGGAGCAAATCCAGCAAATCCATCTGGCGGAGTCAGGTTAGAAAAATGCTACCATCTACTTCCAGTCGCCATGAACAATAAGGAAAAACCCCACAGCTGCTGAAGGGGATTCCCAGTGACTTAAAAACATACTAAAACTACTTTTTACCAGCTGAAAACAGCAAATATACTACAGCTACTCTGTGTACAAGCATAAAAAATGAAGCAGCAATTTCAGGTGAAGATTGGCTAGATATGTGGAAAACACATCAGACATCCCCCAATTCATGGATATAGAGGGAGTTCACATGGAAAAATTTTATACAATTTTTTATCACGCCTAAAGTCAAGAATAAATATAACGATACAAACATGGGGTGTTGGCGGAATTGTGGATCAATGAATGCTGATCATTCTCACATATTCTGGAACTGTCCTAAAATTGTAAAATTTTGGAAAAATGTACATGAAACTGTAAAGAAGATACTGGAATATGATATTCCTATGAACAGTGCAGTGCTATACCTTTGCAATTTCAACAATATCAAAGTACAGGTAAAAGACAGGTATCTGATTAAGATATTGTTGATAGCTAGCAAAAAAGCTATCACGGGGAAATATGGACAGGCAGACCCCCCTTGTCAAGAACAATGGACTGGAATAACAGAAGAAATCTACATTATGGAAAAGCCGACACATCGTCTAAGACTTCAACAAACTCAAATGGAAGAAAAGTGGAGGAAAAGGACAAGATTCAAGACAAAAGACAGCGACAAAGATTAAAAAAATAAATAAATAAACTAGACGGGACAAAGGCCAAATAGATGAATAGCTCCCAAGTAAAAGCTCTATGTTACGTTGAGTTTAATGTATAATGATGTTCATGTACACTGTATATGTAAAGAAAGTGAAAAATACCAATAAATAGTTAAATGTAAAAAAAAAATGAAGCAGCAGGTGCTTTTCGCTGCTCAAAGCACATGAGGTGTGAACGTAGCACAAGGCAGCATAAAAGGTTCAAGACAAACATTGAAATGTTTTCCAGCTTAATCAGTGACAAGGCAGGAAAGCAGACTGCCTCCCGAGAGGGCAGCGTATACAGGTGCTGGTCATAAAATTAGAATATCATGAAAAAGTAGATTGATTTCAGTAATTCCATTTAAAAAGTGAAACTTGTATATTATATTCATACATTACATACAAACTCATATATTTCAGATGTTTATTTTGTTTAATTTTGATGATTACAAATGACAACAAATGAAAATCTCAAATTCATCATATCAGAAAATTAGAATATTGTGAAAAGGTTCAAAATTGATGGCCCCTGGTGCCACACTCTAATCAGCTAATTAACTCAAACCACCTGCAAAAGCCTTTAAATGGTCTTTCAGTCTAGTTCTATAGGCTACACAATCATGGGGAAGACTGCTGACTTGACAGTTGTCCAAAAGACGACCATCGACACCTTGCACAAGGAGGGCAAGAGACAAAAGGTCATCGCTAAAGAGGCTGGCTGTTCACAGAGCTCAGTGTCCAAGCACATTAATAGAGAGGCGAAGGGAAGGAAAAGATGTGGTCGAAAAAAGTGTACAAGCAAGAGAGATAACCGCACCCTGGAGAGGATTGTGAAACAAAACCCATTCAAAAATGTGGGGGAGATTCACAAAGAGTGGACTGCAGCTGGAGTGAGTGCTTCAAGAACCACCACACACAGACGTATGAAAGACATGGGTTTCTGCTGTCGCATTCCTTGTGTCAAGCCACTCTTGAACCACAAACAGCGTCAGAAGCGTCTTGCCTGGGCTAAAGAGAAACAGGACTGGACTGCTGGTGAGTGGTCCAAAGTCATGTTCTCTGATGAAAGTAAATTTTGCATTTCCTTTGGAAATCAAGGTCCCAGAGTCTGGAGGAAAAGAAGAGAGGCACTTCATCCACGTTGCTTGAAGTCCAGTGTAAAGTTTCCACAGTCAGTGATGGTTTGGGGTGCCATGTCATCTGCTGGTGTTGGTCCATTGTGTTTTCTGAGGTCCAGGGTCAACGCAGCCACATACCAGGAAGTTTTAGAGCACTTCATGCTTCCTGCAGCTGACCAACTTTTTGGAGATGCAGATTTCATTTTCCAACAGGACTTGGCACCTGCACACAGTGCCAAAGCTACCAGTACCTGGTTGAAGGACCATGGTATCCCTGTTCTTAATTGGCCAGCAAACTCTCCTGACCTTAACCCCATAGAAAATCTATGGGGTATTGTGAAGAAGAAGATGCAATACACCAGACCCAACAATTCAGAAGAGCTAAAAGCCACTATTAGAGCAACCTGGGCTATCATAACACCTGAGCAGTGCCACAGACTGATCGACTCCATGCCACGCCGCATTGCTGCAGTAATACAGGCCAAAGGAGGCCCAACTAAATACTGAGTGCTGTACATGCTCATACTTTTCATGTTCATACTTTTCAGTTGGCCAACATTTCTATAAATCCTTTGTTTTTATTGGTCTTCAGTAATATTCTAATTTTCTGATATGATGAATTTGAGATTTTCATTTGTTGTCATTTGTAATCATCAAAATTAAACAAAATAAACATCTGAAATATATGAGTTTGTATGTAATGTATGAATATAATATACAAGTTTCACTTTTTAAATGGAATTACTGAAATCAATCTACTTTTTCATGATATTCTAATTTTATGACCAGCACCTGTATTTTCTGTTGGTAGGCAATCAGCACTCTCCACTTCAGGTGGTAACTCTGAGCAAAGTGTTCAAACCTAATGTAACCCTGAGGTTTTAACACCTGAAAATGAGCAAAAACAGCAGAGTTCACAAGACCAGTTGGAGTCCAACGTTTAATCCATTCGTGGTTCAACAAACCAGAACAGAACGGCTAAATCTACTCTTTGGCACATAATCTAGTATAATAAATTGGCTTGATTTAGATTTAGACTCAGAGTGTGTATATATCTGAGGGCTGTCAAAAATATTGATTCTATGAAAAGTACAGATATTTATATGCTGTATCCAGATACTAATTTGACTTTATCAATACTAATACTTAAGTTTTTCTTTTTGCATATTTTTGCTATTAATTTAGATTTTTTTTTTTTGCACCTTTACATATTTATTTGCAGACTTATCACAGATAACAGTATCTGTGATTCTGTTGATGCACACAATGAAAGGTATGAAGAGTATTTTGTTGGTTTTTTTTATCCTAATGGTATCAAAAATTAAAAAGAGTATCAAATATCTTCTTGGGTTTCAATATTGAGTTTGAAATCTTATCATTGTGACAGCCCTTATATCTAGTAGGGATGTTGTCAATGAATTGGCCCGTGTTCCCTTCATTTTAGGTGAGCAGCGATTCGTTTAGGGCAGCAACTAACGATTATTTTGCAAATTGATTTATCTGTAGAGTATTTTTTTATTAATCAATTAATAATCGGATACCCAAAGGTTTCTTAAAGAAGACTTCTTACAGAATTAAACCAGGTGAAACTAAAAAGTATCCTTTAGGAGGTCTTAATAGAGCATATTGACAGAAGAAAACTTTTTTTTTTATCTTAAATGCAAAATGTTTGTACCTTTTTTTTTTTCAATAAAATTACTGCTCCAAGTGGGTAGCTCTGTCAGCTGAAGGCATGTTTTAAATCTCTCCAGTTAACGATTAATTGATTACTAAATTAGTTGATTATTTCAGATTAATCGTCATTAATCGTGTCAGTCCTAGATTATTAGATGCTCAGATGTGTAACCAATCTTATCCATCAGTCTTATCCTCCTCTACAAAGCCATAAAGTCATAAAAATCGTCCAACCTCAATGCTTTAAACATTCCACTTATAACTGAGAGCACCACCTTGTGCAGTTAAAAACAAATGTATATTATTTTGATAGCATTATTCAACGTTTTTCAATGAAATAACATTGGTGTATTGAGAAAAAAACAATAAAACCAGTATTGGTGAAAATCTAAATCAACACTTCAGGCTTTTTGAAGAACGGTGATCAGCCAGAAAACTACAATCGGTGCATCAATGATATCTAGATATGGCGACAGACGTGAAAAGAGAAATATGATTCAGGCTTGAGGAGAAATAAAGATTTAAGTTTAAAAAAAAAATCTAATCAGTTCACAAAGTATTGATTTCCTCACACACTAGGAATCATTTACAACATACTCGCAATATCATCACTTTTCAAGAAGGATACTACAACGAAAAACTGTACGTGAAGAACATTTCTACGTAAAGTAACAGTAAAACAATAAACACTCCCACACTGCATAAGCCCTAAAACCCAACAAAGCTGCAGCATCAGCAGGTTCAACTCATAACTTGTCTGATAAGAGCAGCGTCCAACTTTGTCATACAGACAAACTTGATCCTGTTAGATTAATTATAATCTAAAACTCTATTGACATGAGTTAAATCACAGATTATCTGCTGTAAATAAATAAGCAGTAAATGGCTAACAGGTAGCAGCAAAGGTTTTCATAACCTCTGGTTCTTCATAGACACAAACAACATGTCCAGCTTTGACCGTCCATGACGGTGGGTTTTGTTTTTACCTTCTGACCTCAGAGACCAGAGCAGCAAAAGGTTTCTCCCAGGCGTACATCTTGATGATCCTCATTCCTGACACTACCTCGTTCATCGTCCGGATTCGGCTATCTGTTAGAATGGCGGTCTTACTCCTACAAAGAAAGGTGAAGCTGTGTTACTTTAAAAAGGTTTTCCCAATTCATTTGAATTTCATCATGTGGTAGAAAAAAAAACATAAATGTGAGGTAGAATAAAAACAATACATGATTTTTACATGTTTTTTTATAAACACAAATCAGTCACAGCTGCAGGTATTTTAAGAAATTAACAGATTAACATTTTTGCCCATTCTTTGCATCAAAGTTCGGCCTCTGTCAGGTAAGAACTAAAGCGTTACTTTAGTTCCTTGCAAGAGGTTCTCAGCTGGATTTTTCCATCTACTCTATTCGTCCTGAAAACAAGCATCCCTACAGTCCAGTCCAATCAGCACCATATTTCATCCGTGTGTCAAGATGAATCTATCTTATCTTTAGTTTAGCTTTTATTGCATACCAGCCAAATGAGCAAACTGTGCATAATAAAGTTGTCCTGTGGGGGAAAAAACTGGAAAAAGTCAAGACTATGATGTTATTTAAATAACTTGATCTACAGCAACTAAGTTTTAGTGAATCCTCCCCAGAACATCAAGAAAAAGAGCAAACAGGGGTAATACATCAAAGTTAGACATACTTTAATCAAATAAAATTTTAAAAAGTCAGAGGCTAAAACATTTTCACATCAACAACAACATCTGAAGTGGCAAAAAGCCGCTCAGTATTTACTGTGTGATGGAAGACACAATCAAACTAAGGAGGAACCCAGTGAGATGATGTCCTACCTGTTAGACCAAACTTTTCATACATCACCAACTTCACATACTTTTCATACTGCTGCCAGGCGATTTAATCTAAATAGAATAAATTGATCCACTCCCACTCAAGCAATAGACTAGCTTTCCCCATAATGTTATTGAGGTTCCAACAGGATATGGATGGACATTTGTACTAGTTTGACTAAACAAAAAAATGTTTTCACCATCAAAACAACCTTTTCAAACAGAATTTCATTCTTCATATCTAGTATAAAAATTCTGGATGTCTAAAATAGAATTTCAGATATCCATATCCCTATTGTTTCTGGTTATAATATGTATTATTTTGACTCTGAAGAAATGCATTTCAAATATAAATACATATTCAGTCAAGCTGATAAATGTCACTTAAACAGTATAAATATTTCTTGGTATATAAAAGTAATTCTTACTAGTATAATTCTGTTTTTTTTTAGATTCTTAAAATTCAGTTTCTGCTGGGAAAACTTTAAATTACAAAGTTCATTACAGTTCAGACTAGGAGTGTAATCTTGACCAGGAAGAATCCTATTTAATGATGGAACAGAGAGGAGAGTGCTTTTACTAAATGTTAAAACAGCCTTCCATACCAGAATAGATATAGATTTAATGGGTTGCTCTGTCAGCTAAATGCTGTTTTATGGTCTCTATACTCCAGTAAACAATTAATCCATTGCTAAATTAGTCAACAAATAGGTCAACAACTGATTAATCACAATTAATACAGTTCATTTTTTTTCAGCCCTAGTGTAAAACAAAACATAAATAATAGATTGTAGCACGATATGGTAGTTTTTCAGAAAAACTGTTTGCAACATTTTAAGAAACATAATGTTTAAATTAAATAAAGACAGCTATAATTAAGTCATCCCACAGCAGAATTTTAATACTTAACATAATGTTGCAATAACTTAAGTATGTGTTTTGTTTTAACTGGTTAAACCAAGTGAACTATTTAACAGCTACACCTTAAGGATGAAGGTTCTTATCCGGCTGCTGTGTGTGTTATTTACCTGAACTTGGAGAAGAGTTTACCAAACATGGTTTGAGTGGGCATCAGGAACAAGAGGACCACCATCCCCGCCAAACAGGAGGGGCCGATTTCACCCCACAGCAGACCCACAACTGCAGCTGCCTGAAGGGGGCCCACCCACAGGAAGTGCAGGAATATGGTGACCTGGAGGTAAGGATAAAACATTTGGCTTAAAAATGATTGGAAACGACTCAGACACATTCAATAAAGTTCTTAAAAGCCTTTCAACGAGGCAAGTGTCTCCTTCAGCCATTAAACAGTGATCCCTGCTGTCCGACAGACCCGGATCTAATCGTGTATGAAAGCGTGAGACTGTGTAATTACTATCCAACCGCTGCCAAGAAACCAAACACCCTCAAGAAACCGAGGCTTTCACAGCGTGCTCTGCCCCTCCGATTAAAACGAAACAACATTCCTGAGAGACAAACAGGATTTGGTGTTCAAAGTAATTAGATCTGTAAATCCTGCCTGAAAAAAATTACCTACCACAGCCTCTGATGAACACATCCACAGCAGTTCTGACAAAAGGAGAGGAAGCCAGAAAAAAGATAAAATAAAAAATCATAACTTTGCATTTATGAGCCAATAAACCTTTTATGTTGATACTTTGCTTAAATGGCAACTCATTCCAAAAGTTAAGTCCTCAGACTGCGTTTGTATAGCGTGATCATTTGGGTTTCTTACAAAGGGCAGCATAAACCTAGCCTGACGTAGTCCGACTCAATTCTAGTCAGAATATGAGTGTGATACTGCTCCATAGAGCTGTGATTATGGGGCGTGTTTTGAACGAACCAGGAAATGCCTCTGCACTCAATTGTATAGACCTACAACCAATAAGAGCAACGGAGCGCGTGACGTATGTTAAGCGAGGCATACCGGTAGTTGTTGTCCACAAAAATCAAAGCGTGCAGTTGCACGCCTAGAATAAGAAGATGAGACCTGATCGCGTTTCTCTGTTCCTCTTTTAAAATTAATTTGCTGTCGATATCTTCTAGAACAGACCTAATAGCAGAATCTACTCACCCCAACTCTCCAGCGGCAGCCATTATTGTTGTCACCCAAGCGCGCTTTGGTCACGTGGTTGATTACGTTACTGTTGATCATCTGTCCATCATCAAATAAAGCCCGCCCTGACAATTTGATTGGATCGCCAGAGGGTGGGCGATCATACTCGCGCTACTATGGAGCAGAGCCAGACCGAACTTCCCGACCTCAAACTTTGTGGGCGGGACTAAGTTCGGAATGGCACCCAGGCTAGCATAAACCTAGAGTCAACTTTCAAGAGGACATTTGTTACAGCTGAAATTTTTGGTGTCACTACAGCCTAAAGGCATAAACACACCTGAGGACCAAGAGTACAGGAAGTCATTGTTAAAGATGCTAGCTATTCAGAGGACTGTATCCAAGCACATTCATAGGAGGGATGTCCCAGTCCGATATCAGGCAAAAAAAAATAAAAAATACTATTGGATTATATCAGCCTGCACCTAAAATGTCTGCTGAAAAAAAAAAAAAAAGCTTCTGTCTAAGGTTTATGCCAGCTGTTTTTCATACCCATTTTTGCAAAATATTTGAGTATTTGATTAAAGTCACTTGATCAAACCTTTTCTATCATTCCCCACTACAAGATGGGTATTAAAAGGGGTGTATAATTAATGCCGATATCATATTGTGTCATATCGGTCAGGTCATAAAGGTTCTAGATCATTTTTGTATCGGAAATTAAAAAGGTTGTATCGCAACATTCTAATTCATAGAAGATTAAGTGGAAGGAAAAAGTTTGTTAGGGAAAAACGATAACTGAAGCCTTCAGACAAATGGGCTGGAGCTAAAGGAATATCCTTCACGATAGGCTAGGAGCTTTTATGTGGGCTTAAAAAAAAATAAAAAAAAGAACCAAGTTGCTTCCCAGTGACCCGAAGTCCTCTTTTAGTAATCAGGATCCTGAACCTCACAGAGAATCAATGAAGAACGGCCAAAAGGAGGATAAGAGACATCAGACCCAACAAAGCAGGTGATCTGAACGGTGATATCAGAGCAAAACTGGTAAAAAAAAAAAACATCAAATGTATAATATTCACATTTCTTTACTTTTTAACAAATTTACCTGAATAGATCTATTTTTTACTACCGTATTTTCCAGACTATAGAGCACACCTCACTATAAGCGCGCCCACTAAATTATATATGAAAAAAAAAAACTGGAAACATACATATACTAGCCACACAGCTGATATCTACTGAACTGTCTCCCACCAAACCTGTAGGGGGAGCTCTATATGTAGCCCCTAGAGTAGGAAAGAAGGTGAACACTAGCTCATGTTAGTTTGTTGGCTCACAGCAGCTCTTTATTTGAGCTCTGCGGAAGCTGAGCCCAGTCTCTTCATTGATTCAGCAGCTTTAATGCAGCAAATAATAATCCGTTTTGCCTGCTACTAGCATGTTGTTGTGCTAAATGAAAATTAGCCCCTTATATGTTTTCATTTCCAACTTTGACTTCCCCCGCTAGCTATTAGGAAAAATCCACAGAAAAGCTGCACCTTCTTATAAGCTGCATGGTTCGAAGCGTAGAAAAAAAGTGGCAGCTTATACTCCTGAAAATATGGTATGTTCCTTTATTCTGACATCTGTGCCTCAACAGTTTTTAATCAGTACACAATTCCATACAGACTTATCTTTCAGAGCAGTTTGTTGCAAAAAATAATTGAGCAATTTTTAACTTTAAACATTTAATAATTTTACAGTCAACAATTCTAATGCATTTTCTTAGAAATATACTCAAGAGCCAATATTTTTTGTGTGGAAAACCGATTTAGTTTATTGTGGCTTTATTCGTAAAGCCCCCTTTAATCAGACATCCCTCATCAAATGCCTTCACAGTTCCCAACTTTAGTAAACATTCCTCCTGTGGGAGGAATAACAAGGCAGTATTATGCTGCGGGCTAACCTTAGTGCTAATTTTGTTTTTGCTTTAAAACAATATAAATAAAATCCATTACAATTTCTGGCAAAATGTGGAACATTTTAGGTCATATGAAGAATTTTACAAAACCCAATGAATCAGTAGATACAGCATCACTCATTATTTTTGTTTCTCCATCAAATAAAAAGCCTCCTACCTCATCAAACTTGTTAACGTCATTGGACAAGAGGTTGACTATCTGGCCTGTGGTGGTCTTTCCCATGGCTGAACTGCTCAGACACAGAGCCTTAGAAAAATAAACAGAGAGAAAATGAAAACTGTTCATAAGTAATAGTAGTTATGTGACAGACATGGATACAAATTGGATTAAATCAGCTGACTTTGTTATTCCTCACCTTTTTATAGATCATGTGACACATGGCCACTCTGATCTTCATGCCGGCCCTCTGTACGTAGTAGAAGTAGAGGTGATGGATCACTGCTAGGCCAATGGTGCAGATGGAAAGCCCCGCTGCATAGCCCAGAGTTTCGTATAAAGCCGTTTTATTATCTGGATCGTAGTTCTCAAAGTACTCAATCACTTTTCCCAGAAAAACTGGCTGGGTCACTCTTATGGTCTCCTAATTTCCAGGGAAGAAAACACATTAGTGAGAACCTAGAAGTATGTTCTGATTTCTAAATTCAATTAGATTCAATTGAAAAATAATTCTGAAAGAGAACTAAGCATTTCTGGATTTTCAACAACAAACATGGCAAAATAAAAACAACATTTGAGATGTTTTTCGGTGACCTTTTTTTCCTCCTTTCTCTTTTAAGACTATGAAATAAAATGTTCACAAAATATCTGAAAAGTGGATATTTTGTTTCTAGAAATCTTGCTTAAAGAGAAGGGCTAAACCAAGAACTTTATTGGAGAAACAAACACAAAAAAGACAAAGTACTTGATGGGTTAAAAGACAAAAATCACAGATCACTGGATGGAAATATACCGTTTTATACTAATTTCCCAGTTGGATTTTGAACCCAGAACATTTCACAAATAGACCTCTAACCTCAAAAAGTGTAAAGAAACCCAGCAGTCCATAGGATTTCCAGTAGCACCGTATGATGACTTTGGTTAGTCCTGGCGTCCGCATCTCTTTGGTCGCTCTCTGCACCTCCCAATCCCAATAGCTGCAACAGACAAGAACCCAGAATTCATCCAATCAGGGCTCATCAGTCATTACATGAAAATAAGTTCAGCCTTGCATCCTAGTCTGCACCAACATTACTGAAAAAGAAAGGAATCTTAAGTTACACCATGTGAATGGCAGGTTTAAACTAGGGCTGCAACAACGAATCGATAAAATCGATAAAAAGCGACTTTTAAAAGCGCTGGCAACGAATTTCATCATCGATTAGTTGTGTCGCGCGATTAATGCGTCATCCGCCGCCGCCGCCGTCATCACATCCACTTGACTGAAGCGGGGGAAGAAGAAAAAATATGGCAGAGCGAGTCAGCGCTGCAGGTGCGGTGTTGCCAACTCAGCGACTTTTCAGACCCCTCCAGCGACTATTTTTCAAAAAAGCGACTAGCGACAAATCTAGGGCTGGGTATTGTTCAAAAATTTTCGGTTCCGGTACCAATACCGATACCTTCACTTCGATACCGGTTCCTGAACGATACTTTTTTTGATACCAGTTTTATAATATCAATTCGAGAAAAAAAAGAAAATTACACAACATAAAAAAGTACAAATCTTGAGTTTTATTTTAAGCTCTGTTTTTTCCATTTACATTTTTCCTCTTACATAAAAAAAAAATTCAGTGTCTAATATTCACTGTTACATTGTGAGGACCTTTTTACTTAGCAGTTTTCCTTTAGAAAAATGACCATGTCTGACAAACAAGCCCGTTGAATGGGATCCTACTGACAGCGCACCGCTGGTATGGGGGGTCTGAGCGGCTCCCACAGAAATATTGGAAGGCCGGATGAACTGACTGCACTGATTAAGTTTTCAGGTGGATTTTCCCACTTAAAAACATAATGAAACTACTTTATTCCCACTGATCACAGCAAATATAGCTGCAAGGCAAATAAAGGATAGAGTATCTCCGCCCAACGCGCGTCAGAGCCACTTTTCGACCGCGCAGCCAGAGCAGCAAAGCTTCTTCAGCCGCGCGTCAGAAGCCGGTACAAGCAGCAAAAAAGAAGCAGCAGACGTGATTTTGCTGCTCCTGCTGCGTCCAGTTTGAAAGCAGCATTCTCCAATAGTGTCTCGCATTATTCACTCCGCTCTGGCTTTGCTCTGCCCACGGGCTGCTGAGAGGAGGATGGTCGCGCCGGCTGCGGTCCGCTCTTCTTGCAGTCAAACACCGAGCAACTTTCTGCTCTTAAATTGTTTCCGTGCACGATGTATTGCATTACGCACTATTGGCATCAGTCTTAATAAAGTGAAGCCGCACTTTTGACCTGGGGGGCATTTTAAAGGGGTTCCACGACGCTCACAACCAGTTCACAACAGATACACATGAACCCTGGCTGTAGGCGTGACCACCTGTGTATTTTTCCTGGATGACGCAATCACGTTAAGTGTTACAGCCAATCACCGAAACTTGGTACCGAAAGACGAGGCGTGTTTCGGTACTCTGTAGAACCGAAGCATTTCGGTCGGTACCATAAAAGTACCGAAGTTCGGTACCCAGCCCTAGACAAATCTGGTGACTTTTTACGGTGTCATTGGCGGCTTTTGGAGACTCTTACGTGAAAGCATGTATCATTCCTACTCTGCCATGGGGCGCCTCCCCCCGCTCCCGCAGGAGTCCCTCTTAGCGCTGCAGTCAGAGCAGCAGGATTTTTACCCTCAGCGTCCAGACTGCAAATGAAGCGCGCATGCACCGGGATTGACGGCGCAAATTGATCACAATAATTAAAATAGCCTGCGCTTTGTACAGTGAAAAAAGTCGTAACGTCAGATGGCTGAAGCCAGAGCCTCCTACATATAACATATGGATACAAAAAGTTTGGGACATTTACATGATGGAAGGAATAACATATTCCCTAAGGTTTCAAAAAACAGTTTTTAATACAAGATGCAGCTCTGTCATACCGTTACTAACTCAGTGACACAGCTACAGGATAGCCCTTTTGCATTAGCGTATATCTTTGGGTCGATGGAAAATACTATGAATGTGTGGATTATCTTGTCTCAGGAGGGGAGTCATTCAAGTGTTATGTACCATTTTATTTTATTTTACTGTTATCTGCCTGTTGATTTCAATCTGCTGTCATGTATGCATTATTACATGTGTCAGAACACCCACTGACTCACCTTTCGATGTCTCGTGTAATATAGTGGCTATGGGTCGGTAGAGACAAAAGATTGTAACTGTGTTCATGTGTTATTAAAAATAAAAAAATAAAGTTAAAAAAAAAAAAAAAAGTCGTAACATGCAACTTTTGTCAAAAGAAATTAACATGGCACGGAACCACCATGTTTGTTTGGTTTTAAAGTGGGGAAACGTAACGTTAGTTTCTCAGGTAGCTCATCTGATGCTTTCCTTACCGTGTTAGTAGGTTACAGACAGTGATAAGGTTGGCTACTTATTTTACTTTTAATTTCATTTGAATTAGCTTAAGCAGCGTTTACATTTACTTTATAAATAAATTAACTTGCAAATTATGAGGGCAAGGCTTTTAAAGTTTAAATCTTCTGGCAAAAATAAAGTAAAGATCCTGCAATTTATGGAAGTAAAGCAGAATAAAATCCAGCAAGATCAGTAATATGTCAATTAATTATATGCCACATTTCCATGTAAATATCTGTCTTTGGAGGATGTGTTTTTTACCACCCCTAGTTCTCTCATTTTTATTCCAAATACAATTTATAATTTGAATCACAGGGCTATTTTTATCTCTATGGTTCAGTATTTTCTCAAGTAGCAACTTTAACTTTTATACTTTCCTGTCTTAAAAGGCAGAACTCTTCTAGTCTAAAAAAACCTCATTTGTTGAAATGGGGGGGGCCTATTGTTTGAACCCCTTAGGGGCTTTTAAAAAAAAAAAGTATTTTTTTGCACTTTATGAAACAAAGTACCCTATATTTTGTGGATGTAGTTTGCGTAGTTTTAACACAAACATTTATTTTTCATATTGCACCAGTGCAGTTAATGAGCAACCTGTACTTGTGTGCTTGTTTGTTCTGAATAAAATGTTTATTTTGGAATAAAGAGTATAAAATATAAAAAATATTTTTTGTCCGAAAAAATAATCGCCCGATTCATCGATTTTTTAAATAATCGTTAGTTGCAGCCCTAGTTTAAACACATCCACAGTCATCAGCTCCTCAAAATGTTGGAGCAAATTTCGATGACTGATCTGAAAGCAAACCTTATTGTGGAGGATATAAGCGGTTTATCTTTTTATGACTGTGCATCATTTGTTTAGTTATACCCTTTCCCACTGGCTGAAGAACCTGTTTAAACTTGGGAACAATCAACTTTTAGTGACAGTGGATCAGCTCACTGACGCCTGTCTACCCGGGTCAAACGAATCGGTAAGCGACCTGCGTTAAAAATCGCCTGGATATTCTTGTGGGAACATTAGAACCAAGTTGATCCGCTTAATTACGTGATACCATTGAGCGCAACATGCGGACGTCAACACACCGCGCCTGATTTAAAGAGCCGAAACAACCCAGTTTACATTCCATTAACATGGTGGAACACTGGTAAGAGGGAATCGGACAGATAAAATAGTCAAACAAAAAAGCACACTTAATATGCACTGGCTTCCTTACATGTTTCTCTCCATTGTTTACGTTCCTGATTTCAGTCACTCTGGTGACATCATCAATGCTAACACATGGTGGCACCAGACACGCAGCTGTCAGCGAGTGGTAAGACCCAGATTTTTTTGCACTGGCTTCCTTACATGTCTCTCTCTAATGTTTACGTTCCTGATTTCATGCCTGGAAGATGTCTAGTGCTGCTACCACAGATGATCTCGCTCTCGAAATGGAATTGAACGATACAGATTAGCTATCCGAACGAATAGAAGGGGTAGAGCGTAGCTGCCTGTGGCCCGGGCTGCCTGTCAAAACTCCAGTCCGGCGCGCGGATGACATCATACACACTCCGCTTTGTTTAAAAAAAAACATAAATATAAAAAATATAACCGCGGATATCTTGGGGACAGTGATTAGCCTACATGTTATGGATGAGCGCAACATGCGGACGTCAACACACCGCACCTGATTTAAAGAGACGGAACAACCCAGTTTACATTCCATCAACATGGTGCAACACTGGTAAGAGGGAATCGGACAGATAAAATAGTCAAACAAAAAAGCACACTTAATATGCACTGGCTTCCTTACATGTTTCTCTCCATTGTTTACATTTCCTGATTTCAGTCACTCTGGTGACATCATCAATGCTAACACATGGTGGCACCAGACACGCAGCTGTCAGCGAGTGGTAAGACCCAGATTTTTTTGCCAGTGGGAATGGAGCCAAATGTTGATTATTAGGGGGTCGACCCATGTTTGAAAAACATGCGTTAATGTGCTAATTTCAGTGGCAAAGAGGCTTTATTGAAACAGTTTCTCATTTAAATCTATAGTCTTCTGCTTAGAGATTTGGCTGTCGGTTCAGGAGAAAAGCCCAGGCATCCCTTCCCCAGCAACATCCTCCAGCTCATTCTGGGTGATCCAGATGTTCTCAGGCCATATATGATAAAACATGCCTCCAGGGAGTTCTGGGTCTTTCCGGGCATCTCTTCTCTGCCTGTAAAAGCTTCCTCAACAAGCTGGCAAGGGGGCATACTGATCAGATGTCTGAAACCCCCCCCATGTGATTCCTTCTGATGCAGAGAAGCAGTGACTCTACTTAAAGCTCCCTATAGATGATCCAATCACTAAAGTTGAGGGGGGGTTTTTTTGTAGGGGTTAAGATCCAAATTCAAGGCAATAAATCAGGGAAGTAATGCAGCCAGATCAGTAAATTCAGAGTTCAGTTTTTTTGGCTTCGCTCTTCCTTCAGCAAAAAACACCAAAGTGTGTAAAAAATGCAACCGTCCATCTGAGTGGCACAAGAAACTTCAAAAGGACAGTCTCAACTCTGCCATGTTCTATACATTCATATAGTTTGATATACATTCTTCTGAAAGGTTTTTTATTTAATGTCCATGTGGCATTTAAACCAGTCTAAATCACTTTTTGTCCTGCCTTTTAGCTCCTTGAACAAATTATTTTACCCCTAATAAAAAAGCTGGTCATTTGCTTAAGGCGAGAAACGGAAAGTTTAACTTTGAGGATATTCCCACAATGATCCGCGACATTATAATGATGTGCCTATTTTCTGTTAATTTGCCTGAGCTGCAAAGACAGCCTGGAGTGATTTTTTTTTAAAAGATACACAAAACAAATGACTGAGTGAAAGATAACATTTTCATGCTAATTTAATACGCGCTTTAGAGGTGAACCGCAGTTTGTAAAAATGCTAAATTTTTACCCTTTTTGGAGTCTGTGAGCTGCTCCTTTATTCATGTTTAAGAACAGATGGGTTTAAAAACTGAGCTTGAGTCAAAGGTTTATACCACCCTGCTGCAAAAAAAACCTTGAGGCAACTAATTATCACCATAACCAGCCAGAAATAGAAATACAATACAAGCCAGAGTGCTACCATATAGGTGCTGATATACACTATATTGCCAAAAGTATTTGCTCACCCATCCAAATTATTGGAATCAGGTGTTCCAATCACTTCCATGGCCACAGGTGTATAAATTCAAGCACCTAGGCATGCAGACTGTTTTTACAAACATTTGTGAAAGAATGGGTCGCTCTCAGGAGCTCAGTGAATTCCAGCGTGGAACTGTGATAGGATGCCACCTGTGCAACAAATCCAGTCGTGAAATTTCCTCGCTCCTAAATATTCCACAGTCAACTGTCAGCTGTATTATAAGAAAATGGAAGTGTTTGGGAACGACAGCAACTCAGCCACGAAGTGGTAGGCCACGTAAACTGACGGAGCGGATGCTGACGCGCATAGTGCGAAGAGGTCGCCAACTTTCTGCAGAGTCAATCACTACAGACCTCCAAACTTCATGTGGCCTTCAGATTAGCTCAAGAACAGTGCGCAGAGAGCTTCATGGAATGGGTTTCCATGGTCGAGCAGCTGCATCCAAGCCATACATCACCAAGTGCAATGCAAAGCGTCGGATGCGGTGGTGTAAAGCACGCCGCCACTGGACTCTAGAGCAGTGGAGACGCGTTCTCTGGAGTGACGAATCGCGCTTCTCCATCTGGCAATCTGATGGACGGGTCTGGGTTTGGCGGTTGCCAGGAGAACGGTACTTGTCTGACTGCATTGTGCCAAGTGTAAAGTTTGGTGGAGGGGGGATTATGGTGTGGGGTTGTTTTTCAGGAGCTGGGCTTGGCCCCTTAGTTCCAGTGAAAGGAACTCTGAATGCTTCAGCATACCAAGACATTTTGGACAATTCCATGCTCCCAACTTTGTGGGAACAGTTTGGAGCTGGCCCCTTCCTCTTCCAACATGACTGTGCACCAGTGCACAAAGCAAGGTCCATAAAGACATGGATGACAGAGTCTGGTGTGGATGAACTTGACTGGCCTGCACAGAGTCCTGACCTCAACCCGATAGAACACCTTTGGGATGAATTAGAGCGGAGACTGAGAGCCAGGCCTTCTCGTCCAACATCAGTGTGCGACCTCACAAATGCGCTTCTGGAAGAATGGTCAAAAATTCCCATAAACACACTCCTAAACCTTGTGGACAGCCTTCCCAGAAGAGTTGAAGCTGTTCTAGCTGCAAAGGGTGGACCGACGTCATATTGAACCCTATGGATTAGGAACGGGATGTCACTTAAGCTCATATGTGAGTCAAGGCAGGTGAGCAAATACTTTTGGCAATATAGTGTATATGTGGTTCAAATGTTAATGGTGCTGTCAAAACTCACTGTACCCAGGTAAAAAAAAAAAAATAATAAAGTTTAGTTAAGAAATCTGCTATATATATATATATATATATATATATATATATATATATATATATATATATATATGATTTATCGACGATCAGAGTCTGAGTGATTTTTTATTTTGAAAAATGTAAAAAATTATGGTATTCTCTCCCAGTTACATCAGTCGGTGCATCTGTGCCTCTTGACACAGGTTAATTCAGTTCAAGACTCATCCTATCTATAACATCCTATCTTTGTGAATAGTGATTTTCTGTGGTTCCAGCGACCAAAACAAAGCTACGGAGCAGACTGGACATCAGGAGCACACTTTGTCACCGTCTCTGATTACGCCTAGATGGGACCCGGCTTGTTGTTTTATTTTTATGCTGTTTGTATTTGATTTTATGCCAGTCATTTTACGTGATCGTATTTCATAACAGCTCAAAACTAACATTGGTGAGTAGAAGAGGATGTAATAACGTAAAATCAAATGATGTTTTATTCACCTCATGGATTTGCATTGTGAATTGGTTTGAAAACATTCCAATTGCTCTAATTTGGTGAAAAGCTAATTTGATCATATACTTTGATTTTCAAACAAAATCCATCTAAAACTGTATAGTTTTCAACCATGTTTTCCCTTCCTCTTTGTACATGGCTGAATGATTTTTGTTAATAAACAAAATATTTTTAACAGAAGATGTGGTGAATTTATTCCATGTATGTGCAGAATTATCAGTTTGACCATGATTTAAACTCAAATCACTCTTTCACCTATTGTTCTAACACACAGCTGGTAGGGTGTGTGTGTTCATAAACAACGTGTAGGGCAGGCATCCCCAAACTCGGTCCTCGAGGGCCGCTGTCATGCAGGTTTTAGAGGTTTCCCTGCTTTAGCACAGCTGATTATGATGATTGCAGTAGAGCAAAAGCCTGTTAATCAACTATCAATTAAAATCAGCTGTGCTGGAGCAGAGAAACATCTAAAACCTGCAGGACAGCGGCCCTCGAGGACCGAGTTTGGGGATGCCTGGTGTAGGGTAATAAACATCTTAAAGTATCACCACATAATATGAATTCCCGGCTGGCTGGGAATTGAATATAAAAGTTATTCACAACAACCTCAAGTGGAAAAGTTTTAGTTTCACCTGGTTTAATTTCATTAAAAAAAAAAAAAATCTTCTTTAAGGAACCTTTAATTCACAAAATCTGCATCACACTGATGACACCAAACCAAAAAAAAAACTGCATATGTATACCATGTATATTAATGCTCTGAACTTCAATGTGGTTTTGCACCATGTTTTTTCCTTTTTTTCCCTCCAAGACTATTTACATTTGATCACTGCTGCACTTTATGGAGTAGAAATGTTAATTTACCATTTGAAAACTATACAAAACTATCCGATTATTAATCGATTAATCAACAGATTAACTGACATGCAAAATAATCGTTAGTTGCAGCCCTAGTTTATATATAAAGCTCTGTTTTAACAGCATAAGGGAAGCCATTTAATGATCTATTGGTGTCATTATTTTAGAATTAAGTACTCCTGGGTTAGTTGTTCTTGTGTGTCGTCTGTCCTCTAAAGGGCAGATTACACTTCTGCATCCACCACACATCAAACGTTGCTTAGGTCTGATCGCGAACCAGTTTTGCTGGTATGCTTCTGCACCGTCGGTCTGGAATTTCTAGGGACGCAAGATATCACAAGTCACAGAGATGGATCTAGAGTTGCTAGACATCGAAGAGTAACGGGTTCTGTTAATGGAGTTGGCATAAAGACAGATTTACCCTTTCGTCGCAGTTGTTACTCGGTTTTTAAAAATGGCATACCCCGGCACTGAATCGAGAAGGACGACCACACAGACAGCTGGAAAGTTATACCAAGGACCAATCACAGCTGCTTTTTGTCTGCACACTTCCGCTTGAGGTCTGCACGGACTGCGTCGGACGGTCGCAAACTACACTGACATAGTCAGGTTTTTTTTTGAGGTGCGCGATGACTGTGGCAGAATCTCTGCGCCGGGGGCGTGGTCACGCACAGATTTGACGGTTGCAGAGGCTATGCGTCAGAAGCATAAATTGGCCTTAAATCCTCCAGTGGTCACAGCAGGTGGCTGCTAGAAATTGAAATCGTTTCTTACTTTACAGAAGCTTTCCTTCCCACTGTTACTATATGCTTGGTATAAGCATCAGCTGTCCTCCATATCCACTGGTCCATATGGTAGAAGGAGGGATTTTAAGTCAATTGTATTTAAAAACTCTTCTTGAACTGGTTGTTTAACAAGAGAGATCAAACTTAAACATACATAAAAGGTCTGATCAAATCAATTTAATACACAATTCTGCATACAAATCGTTTTTTTAATCATGTTGTGAAGTGGTGCTATCTAAATGGGCCTGATGTAATTTCTGTACCTTTGCAGCTGCTGTCCCAGCACCTCCGACCTGTCCTCAGGGAGCACTTCGTACATGTCTTCTTCCTCCAGCCTGCGTTTGTAGCCGATGCTGAACAGAGGGTTCAGCCAACTGAAGGTGGAAAGAAGTAGAGAAGCAGAGTATGGAGGATTAATTCAGGATTACAAGTGGCAGATTATTTTATTTTACAGAGTGCCTTAGTAAAAATAAAAAAAAAGGACTTATAATAATGCAAAATATATTAGACTTAAAAACCATGATTTATGACTGAATATTTAAGGGAAAATAATCTGATTGGCTGGAGGCAAAATTTTCATGGTACTACAGAGGATTTGATTCGGAAGTTATGAGATTTTCATGCAGCAAATTATCAGCAGAGACCATATATGAACAAAGCAGCCCTTTATCTCTGGCTTCTCTGCAAATAAACCAGCACACACAGTCCCTGCCTCACTGTTTAGCTTAGAGTAGATATTTGCAAATCAAAGACACACACAAAAAAAAACTATGAGCATTAAAAAAAGGTTTTAGAAGCGCTAATTTCCACATAGAAAACACTAAAAAAAATGTTGGAGCTCTGAAACTTCTAAATCCATAACAGTCAGACGATATACAGCCAGGTAGAAGTGATTGAAAGCAATAAGGGGAGAACCTCACCCTTATTTTTGACAAATTTCCTGGAATTAATCCGACGTTTTGAAACAATCTGGTACAAAACTAAATTACCTGTAAACTCAGCTTATTGAAAAAGTGGCCAAATTAAATGTCCAATTAAGAAAAGTGGTAAAAATATTTACATAAATAACAAAATACATTTTCGAATCACTTTTTTCTGAAAAAAAAAAATTAAAAGAAGTTTATTTTATGATTTTGATCACTGCCCTGAGGGGTGACTGTTGCTTTGAGAGTAATTTTATAGTCTTGCATTTAAGAAGACATGGGTTTGAACCCTGCTTCCTTCCTACATCAACGTGCTCCTTGGTAAGACTTTTAAAAACAAAAACGGATGACAAGAAACACTGAAATGCAATATTTTGGCACATATTTTCATGTATTGAAATTGGCCGATACGTCTGTCGATTTGCATTGAGATCTAATTAAGCGCATTCATTGCAGTTCACTCTGTTGCAATCCATTTTTAATGTTTTGATAAATTAATGTTTTGAAAGATTTACTAAAAAACTTAATCTATATAGATTTCAATAGATTAAATAAAAATGTAAACATTTTGTGTGTTTAAATGAAAACATGTGCAACATTTATATATATATATATTTTTTTATAGATATTATGTACATGAAAGAAAAAGCTATATCTGCTCCAAAAATTACCCTCCAAAATAATAAGCAGTGCATTATGGGCACTGGTTAGTTAAAATAAATGAGTATTTGCATTTGGCTTTAAACAAACAACCTATATCAGTCGATTACCAATTAATGTAATATTACAATGGATTTTGAAATGGACAAATAAAGATATGATAGGTACAGAAATTATTTCAATTTGATATGTGAAAAAAGTAATTAATCCTGGTATTCTGATTTTAATCACAGAATTTTTACATTTTCCTCAGGATTCTGACATTTTTCTTAGGTAGGATTCTGACTATAATCTCGGGATTCTAACTATAATCTCGGGATTCTGACTTTAATCTCGGGATTCTGACTTTAATCTCGGGATTCTGACTATAAACTCGGGATTCTGACTTTAATCTCAGAATTTTTACATTTTTCTCAGGATTCTGACTTTTTCCATCAGGATTCTGACTTTTTCCATCAGGATTCTGACATTTTTCTTAGGAAGGATTGTGACTATAATCTCGGGATTCTGACTTTAATCTTGGGATTCTGACTATAAACTCAGGATTCTGACTTTAATCTCAGAATTCTGACTTTAATCTCAGGATTCTGACTTTAATCTCAGGATTCTGACTTTAATCTCAGGATTCTGACTTTAATCTCAGGATTCTGACTTTAATCTGACTTTTTTCCTGAGGAAAAAAAAAAATCCGAATAAAAAAGCAGTTAACTTTTTTTCATTTTTTTTTTCAGTGGCCCTAATCCTCTTCCGTAGATAGGTTTTACGTAAACAAAAAAAAAATTAATTTCTCAAAAGGTCACGCGAGAACAAAGGAAGCCGCCAATAGGAAACGCCTCCTCTTACAGCACAGCTTGTAATCAGCTGTTATCTAAAACACCTGCGCCGTGAGAATCCACAAGGAACCATAAAGAACGTTGATGCCACGTGTGGATTTGTTATTTCCTCACGTGAACATGCGCTGTTTCAGCGCGTGCATAACTTTGTACCCCTAAGCTAACTTTACGTAAAGTGACCACACTGACATTGCAGAGCCACACATCCACCAAACAGTCCGTTTTCAAACTCCCCGCGAAGTGAACAGAGCTGGAAGCCGGTCCCCCGCCGGCGACACTCACCAGAAAAAGATCTTAGATAGGACGTTGGCCGTCCCCGCGGGGTTCTTCCTGGCATCTTTGCGGACTTTTTCCATGGTTTACCGGGAGGCAGGCTGCTTCTCCTCTCCTTAAAAAGCTGCAGTGCCCAGTTAGGTGTCGTAACTTGGTCGGACACGCATGTTACATGAGAGTAGGCTCCCCCTGAAAGTGCGTTACGTAAACCCGGTACGTCCGGACCTACAAGGTAATGAAAAATAAAAGAAAGAGAAAGAACCCTTCATTAGCCCCGCCTTGAAAGCATCTGATTGGTAAGGAATTATTTTGCTTTCACGCTATTGGCTGAGCGTCTGGTGGGTTTTTAACTTTTTTAACAGCACTAAAATGAATTTGTAACATTATTAAAAACGTCTCACATCAATTAAGAAATTATATATAATACAAATTAACGTTAAAACTACAAACATCACTGTACTTTTATAAGTATGTTATATGATAGGACATAGAAGGAACTATAGGCTACAATTCTGGATAGATAGAATTTAATACAAAGCTTTTTAAATCTTCAGAATTTACGTAATGAGGACAAAATATTAATGAATACCCAACATAATAAGATGAAGTATGTAGTTATAACATGTCTAGAGGTTTAAAAAAAGTTTAAGATGTATATACATACACACAGACATACATATTTATATGTGTGTGTATATATATATATACGTGTCAATAAAGCTAAATTATTTTATATATATATATATATATATATATATATATATATATATATATATATATATATATATATACTCATGTAACATATCAATAACGTTCAATTATGTTACATATATATATAATAAATTAAATTTTAAAGGTTTACAAAAGATGTATATGCATACACACAGCTTGAGGATGACACATACCACCCGAAAATAGTTTTATTTATATATATATCAGTACCAAGTTTACTTCAGTAGTGATAGATGTGGCAATCCCAAGCGACAGCAACATCAAGAAGAAAGAACACGAGAAGCTTGAGAAATACCAAGGGCTGAAAGAGGAGCTAGAAAAGATGTGGAAAGTACAGGTGCTGGTCATAAAATTAGGATATCATGAAAAAGTAGATTGATTTCAGTAATTCCATTTAAAAAGTGAAACTTGTATATTATATTCATACATTACATACAAACTCATATATTTCAGATGTTTATTTTGTTTAATTTTGATGATTACAAATGACAACAAATGAAAATCTCAAATTCATCATATCAGAAAATTAGAATATTGTGAAAAGGTTCAAAATTGATGGCCCCTGGTGCCACACTCTAATCAGCTAATTAACTCAAACCACCTGCAAAAGCCTTTAAATGGTCTTTCAGTCTAGTTCTATAGGCTACACAATCATGGGGAAGACTGCTGACTTGACAGTTGTCCAAAAGACGACCATCGACACCTTGCACAAGGAGGGCAAGACACAAAAGGTCATCGCTAAAGAGGCTGGCTGTTCACAGAGCTCAGTGTCCAAGCACATTAATAGAGAGGCGAAGGGAAGGAAAAGATGTGGTCGAAAAAAGTGTACAAGCAAGAGAGATAACCGCACCCTGGAGAGGATTGTGAAACAAAACCCATTCAAAAATGTGGGGGAGATTCACAAAGAGTGGACTGCAGCTGGAGTGAGTGCTTCAAGAACCACCACACACAGACGTATGAAAGACATGGGTTTCTGCTGTCGCATTCCTTGTGTCAAGCCACTCTTGAACCACAGACAGCGTCAGAAGCGTCTTGCCTGGGCTAAAGAGAAACAGGACTGGACTGCTGGTGAGTGGTCCAAAGTCATGTTCTCTGATGAAAGTAAATTTTGCATTTCCTTTGGAAATCAAGGTCCCAGAGTCTGGAGGAAAAGAAGAGAGGCACTTCATCCACGTTGCTTGAAGTCCAGTGTAAAGTTTCCACAGTCAGTGATGGTTTGGGGTGCCATGTCATCTGCTGGTGTTGGTCCATTGTGTTTTCTGAGGTCCAGGGTCAACGCAGCCACATACCAGGAAGTTTTAGAGCACTTCATGCTTCCTGCAGCTGACCAACTTTTTGGAGATGCAGATTTCATTTTCCAACAGGACTTGGCACCTGCACACAGTGCCAAAGCTACCAGTACCTGGTTGAAGGACCAAGGTATCCCTGTTCTTAATTGGCCAGCAAACTCTCCTGACCTTAACCCCATAGAAAATCTATGGGGTATTGTGAAGAAGAAGATGCAATACACCAGACCCAACAATTCAGAAGAGCTAAAAGCCACTATTAGAGCAACCTGGGCTATCATAACACCTGAGCAGTGCCACAGACTGATCGACTCCATGCCACGCCGCATTGCTGCAGTAATACAGGCCAAAGGAGGCCCAACTAAATACTGAGTGCTGTACATGCTCATACTTTTCATGTTCATACTTTTCAGTTGGCCAACATTTCTATAAATCCTTTGTTTTTATTGGTCTTCAGTAATATTCTAATTTTCTGATATGATGAATTTGAGATTTTCATTTGTTGTCATTTGTAATCATCAAAATTAAACAAAATAAACATCTGAAATATACACTATATTGCCAAAAGTATTTGCTCACCCATCCAAATTATTGGAATCAGGTGTTCCAATCACTGCCATTGCCACAGGTGTATAAATTCAAGCACCTAGGCATGCAGACTGTTTTTACAAACATTTGTGAAAGAATGGGTCGCTCTCAGGAGCTCAGTGAATTCCAGCGTGGAACTGTGATAGGATGCCACCTGTGCAACAAATCCAGTCGTGAAATTTCCTCGCTCCTAAATATTCCACAGTCAACTGTCAGCTGTATTATAAGAAAATGGAAGTGTTTGGGAACGACAGCAACTCAGCCACGAAGTGGTAGGCCACGTAAACTGACAGAGCGGGGTCAGCGGATGCTGACGCGCATAGTGCGAAGAGGTCGCCAACTTTCTGCAGAGTCAATCACTACAGACCTCCAAACTTCATGTGGCCTTCAGATTAGCTCAAGAACAGTGCGCAGAGAGCTTCATGGAATGGGTTTCCATGGTCGAGCAGCTGCATCCAAGCCATACATCACCAAGTGCAATGCAAAGCGTCGGATGCGGTGGTGTAAAGCACGCCGCCACTGGACTCTAGAGCAGTGGAGACGCGTTCTCTGGAGTGACGAATCGCGCTTCTCCATCTGGCAATCTGATGGACGGGTCTGGGTTTGGCGGTTGCCAGGAGAACGGTACTTGTCTGACTGCATTGTGCCAAGTGTAAAGTTTGGTGGAGGGGGGATTATGGTGTGGGGTTGTTTTTCAGGAGCTGGGCTTGGCCCCTTAGTTCCAGTGAAAGGAACTCTGAATGCTTCAGCATACCAAGACATTTTGGACAATTCCATGCTCCCAACTTTGTGGGAACAGTTTGGAGCTGGCCCCTTCCTCTTCCAACATGACTGTGCACCAGTGCACAAAGCAAGGTCCATAAAGACATGGATGACAGAGTCTGGTGTGGATGAACTTGACTGGCCTGCACAGAGTCCTGACCTCAACCCGATAGAACACCTTTGGGATGAATTAGAGCGGAGACTGAGAGCCAGGCCTTCTCGTCCAACATCAGTGTGCAACCTCACAAATGCGCTTCTGGAAGAATGGTCAAAAATTCCCATAAACACACTCCTAAACCTTGTGGACAGCCGTCCCAGAAGAGTTGAAGCTGTTCTAGCTGCAAAGGGTGGACCGACGTCATATTGAACCCTATGGATTAGGAACGGGATGTCACTTAAGCTCATATGTGAGTCAAGGCAGGTGAGCAAATACTTTTGGCAATATAGTGTATGAGTTTGTATGTAATGTATGAATATAATATACAAGTTTCACTTTTTAAATGGAATTACTGAAATCAATCTACTTTTTCATGATATTCTAATTTTATGACCAGCACCTGTAAGAGCAGCAGTGGTGCCAGTGGTAATTGGAGCACTGGGGGCTGTGACCCCCAAACTGGGTGAGTGGCTACAGCAGATCCCAGGTAAAACATCAGAGGTCTCTGTCCAGAAGAGCGCAGTCCTAGGAACAGCTAATTGATACTGCGCAGAACCCTCAAACTCCCAGGCCTCTGGTAGAGGATCCGAGCTTGAGGATGACACATACCACATCACGAGGGGTGAGAAAACAGTTTTTTTTTTTTATATATATATATATATATATATATATATATATATATATATATATATATATACACACACACACACATATACGTATTTAAACCCATACCCTTGGGTAACAGTGGGCTGCGGAATTGCGCCCAGGGAATAGTGTAGGGTTAAAGGTCTTTGCTCAGAGACCCAGAGTGGAGGTTGTGGGGATCAAACGGGTACTTGCAACTTTCTCAGAACACAAGCGCACTGCTCTATATATATATAGATATATATATATATATATATATCTATATATATATAGATATATATATAGATATATATAATTTTTTACTGTACCACAGAACTGCATTACGCCAATGTTCAAGTTAATTCCAAGTATTTCTTTTGCTTTAATCACGTCATTATTACTCGGCACAATGTCAAGTTCCTTTATTTCTGTCACGCCCATTACAGTTACAAGAGTCATGCCTTCTAGCTAAAGGTCTTCATCATGATGACTCAGTCATATGAGAGGAGTGAATCAAGATAATAGTTTTTCCCCTCAACTTTCCATGGTTGAGGAACTGCCTTTTGTTTTCCTGTTATTTGTTACTGAAAGACACAAGGCGTGCTGTACAAAGAGAGAGGATATCCTTTGAACCAACAGCAGTCTGTGTTTGAAAGATGGCCCCCTGACTCGCCAAAGCCACTTGAATTAGGAAAAGTATTTTTCTCCACAGCAGGCCAATACCATCAGTCTCCTATTACCAGTATAGAACTCAAAGAAACTTCTCAGGCCACCCAATCACGTGTAACTTAGGTAAACTATTACACTGACAGTCTAACGATAACAGAGCAGAATGGCTATAGTTCTATGACTCACGTTTTTCCTGCTGTTGATGTTTAGCTAGGAATGAGTAGGAAAAGGGGCCAAAGGAGAAAAAACAGTAGGAGATTATTCAAGAAGCTAAAGTGAGGCTGCTAAGAATAACAGCCAGAAGATCAACTCTGGTTCTCAGATGAGTTCAACAGCAATCTTGCTGTTTTATCTAAAAGGTTCTTTATTCACTAATAAAGGATTTAAGATTTTAAAAGTCTATACTT